CAAAAGCCACTGGGGAATCATGCAGTCTTGGCCTAAGAGAAAGTCACGTGTCCAACTCCAACTTGGCCTTTGTCTCTTTTCAGCCATCATATTTATTCATTCTTCTATGCATGCGCCAAGACGACATTTCTGTATGTGTTCATCCACCTTTTTTCCCCTTGCAGTGGGTTGAATGGGTTTTGGGGTGGTCCCCAAAAAGAAATGTACATGCTCTAATCCATGGAGTCAGTGAACATTACCTTATTTAGGGAAAAGGTATAATTAAATTAAGAGTGGAGATTAGATCACCCTGTGTTATCCAGGTGGACCCTAAATCCAATGCCATGTAAGACAGAGGACATTTTGACACACATACAGAGGAAAGGCCATGTGAAAACATTGCAATTGGATTAATGTGGCCTCAAGCAAGAAATGCCAACAGCCACCAGAAGCTGGAAGAGGCAGGGATTCTCCCCTAGGGCCTTCAGAGGTAATGAGGCCCTGACAATACTTTGACTTCAGACTTCTGGGATCCAGAACTGTGAGAAACTACATTTATGTTGTCCACCCAGTTTGTAGTAATTTGTTGTGGCCACCTAGGAAACTGATAAACTCCTTAAGCTCCTACACTGGCCATCCTTTCTAGCAGTAGATGGCTTTGACTTAGACTATTCTGAAAGACTGAAGCCATCCTCCCCCAAATCCCTCATTCATCTTTCCTTTAACCTTAACTTTTACCCATCTCCTTCACTCCTCAAATCTGTCTTTTTGCAGAAATTTACCCTTTTGTTTCTTCCTTCTGGTTTATCTAAGGGAAAGATGCCCACCCTCCCTTCTTTGCCATAGCTGAATTCTTCATCTGTGCCACTGATCCCATCCCTTCTTGGGTCTGTAAAGGCCTGGTTGTCCCTGCCCAGCCTTCTTACTCCTAAACTGGGGTGGAGAAAGAGTCTGAGGCTCTAGGCATTTCCCAGAAATGCAAAGCCAGGGGGAGCCATTATAAAAAGATACGTCTGAATGAAGGACCAGTCAAAGGGGAAGAAGATAAACTCTGGACTAGGGAGTGAAGCAGGAGAGTTAGTCAAGGATATGACCAAACCGGAAGAGTGGAAGAGTGCAGAAATCAGGAAAGGACTCAAACTACATAGAAAAATAATACTCCAAGCCACTTGTGAGTGTAAGGCTCCATTCTGGTTAATTTGGCACTAAGTGGGAATTCCTCCATATGTCTTTTCTTCCTTTTTATTTATTCTCCACAATTTCATCTTCTCCTTTCTGTGTTTAAACATGTTCTTTTCTCATGTCTTAAAAAGCATTTCCATTTCCTAACTGCTTACACTGTTTATTTTTGGTTTTTGGAAATCAGTCATCTCCTTTCTTTTGGAGAATGTCTTGTTCAGTTGTGTCTTCTTCCATGGTCCTATGTTGTTGGTGATAGCTATTGGCCAGTCAGTCCTGCCCTGGGATTTTAACATTGAAACTAAGAATCCTTGGCCGGGTGCGGTGGCTCATGCCTGTAATCCCAGCATTTTGGGAGGCCAAGGTGGGTGGATTATGAGGTCAGGAGATCGAGACCATCCTGGCTAACACAGTGAAACCCTGTCTCTACTAAAAATCCAAAACAATTAGCCAGGCGTGGTGTTGGGTACCTGTGGTCCCAGCTACTTGGGAGGCTGAGGCAAGAGAATGGCATGAACCTGGGAGGCAGAGCTTGCAGTGAGCCGAGATTGCACCACTGCACTCCAGCCTGGGCGACAGAGCGAGACCCCGTCTCAAAAAAAAAAAAGTATCCTTTAGTGACAAAGCTGACGTGAAAGATCTACCAGCCACATTTCCTCTGCCAAATGAAAGAAGCTAGTCTACAGTAGGAGGAAATGAAGCCAGTACTGAGAGAGAAGCAGAGATAAGAGAAGAAAATAGAGTCCTGGAAGTTATTCATTCCCTGGTGATAATCATCCCTAAAGTTCTCAAACCCATGCCTTACCTGGTTTGAACAGGTGAGTCAATAAGTTTACCCTATTGCCTATGCTTGCTCAAGTTCAGTTATTGTCAGCAGGAAACAAAATATCTCTAACCAAAAGCCCTCTCCTTCAAGTTCCTACTATTCTCTTGTCCTCAGTGACCACCTCCTCCTATGGTTTCCCAAGACAATTGCCTCCATGTCAAAATTAGACTTCTAGTCAAATTCAGGAGACTTCTTTTTGTTGTTGACAATATTTCCCAATAGTATTTGACTGTCTGCTTTCACATATGCTCAGGTCTCAGGGCCCTCTCACGTTGCACTATCTTATTATCTTATTTCTTTGCTCATTCTTTGCTTCTTTTTCCAGGGGTTTGTCATCTTCATAACCCCTAAATGTTGGCAGCTCCTAAAGGTTAGCCCAGGATGTACCGTTACTCACTGTTTCCGTTCCCATCCTCAGTAACATGTACTTTCTCTGACTTGAGTCTAAATTGTAGCTCAGACTCTCATTGAAAATGTCCAAAACCCAGAAACACTGAGTGACCTGCCCAAGGTCAGCCATCTGGATAGTGCTACCCTGCTTTCCTGGGAGCCTCCCCTGATAATTCCAGAATGATACATTTTTATTCTTAGTACAGTGTACACTGGTCTATTTTATGGTTGTTTATGCTTCCCAAATTAGTGCTTTATTATTTATTTAGCTCCATAGCTGTATATTCAGCTAGATTATAGGAAATTGCTATCCTACCATTTTCCCATAAGAATATATGGATTCCATATTTGAAAGCACAATCATTTAAATTATAATTTTATTACCATTGCCAAGAAAGCATTTTTAAATCAAAATCCATTAAGCCAATTCCATTATTTGATCGAATTTTCTGTATAAACCATTTAAACAATTTCCTTTTTATTCATTTACATGTAACCAAAATTATTTTACTCAACATCAATTCTTATGAATTGTATGATGAATATTTGATTTACCCATCACTTTTTCCCCAAACATATCAAATGTTACCTATTATATCTTTTTCTATTATGAGTTTTCTTTTATGACCACCAAGTATAATTGTCCAGGGTCAAAATTTATGATATAGTTTTGTTTAGAAGATTTAGTTCTCCTGTCATTTTTCAGCCAAGGACAAATGTGCCATCTGCAATTTTAGCCATTGTCTGTCTTGTGTTGATTATTTCTGCCAACTCTATTTTTTCTCAGATCCATTTTTACTTTTGTTTCTGAGACAGGTCTTCCCTCTGTCACTGAGGCTGGAGTGCAGTGATGCAAACATGGCTCACGGCAGCCTCTACCTCTTGGGCTCAAGCAATCCTCGCACCTCAGGTCTCCAAGTAGCTGGAACTACAGGCATGTGCACCATGGTTGGCATATTTTTTGTGCCAATACTTTTACTGTTTTTTGTAGAGATGGAGGCCCACTTTGTTGCCCAAGCTGGTCTCAAACTTGCCTGGGCTCAAGCAATCCTCCTGTCTCAGCCTCTCAAAGTGCTGAGATCACAGGCATCAGCCACCACAGGCATCAGCCACCAAAAATGGATCCAGCCTCAGATCCATTTTTAAATTCCAATATTACCGATGAGCTTGATTCTTTTGCCAGTTTTTCATTTATAATAGTTTTTACTGTTTGCAAGTTTTAGCCAGTCAATTTTATTTTGTTTTTCACTATGAGTAAGGTTCGTTATGAATTAGACCAAAAAGTGATACTTTGTATTTCATCAATTGAATCACAAGTAGCAAGGGAGGTCCTATCACATACTGGGTGCTAATCGAGGCACTTAGGATATATCTGTGAAAGAAGATAACGTTTCTGCTCTTACGCAGTTTCCTTTCTTATGTTGGCTAGAAAAGAAGAGACAGACAAACAAACAAAGGGGCAGAAGAATTTCATATTGAAATAAGGACTGTGAAGAAAATTAGACAACATAATGCGACCGTGACAGTTTAGAAAGCTACATTAGATCAGGTTGTCAAGAAAGTTCTCCCTGAAGAGGTAATATTTGAGCTGAGACCTGAATGACAAGGTGACAAGCATAGAATAAGTTTCTTAATGGTTATACTGCTAAAATTATAAAAATGTTCAAATAATTTCAAATATACTGTGTCTCCCTTTCCCACACCATGTGGGAAGGAAAGAACAAACTGTGGGGTCGTAATGGTGGAATCAAAACATACTGTTTTTCCTTATACTGCTTTCTTGTTCATGGCCACATATGGCTAGACAGAAATATGCAAATGAACATGGTTGTGCTAGGGTAGTAGGAGAATAAGCGTTTTTTTTGTTCCCCCAATTTTTAAATATTTATTATGGCTTTTCAATAAAAGTATATGATATGTGTACCTTGTATGCTAGTTTTTTGTTCTGCACTGGTAGGGGTGACACCCTATCTCCTCAATGAGACTGGAAGTTCAACTGTGGGCCGGGCACGGTGGCTCACGCCTGTAATCCCAACACTTTGGGAGGCCGAGATGGGTAGATCACGAGGTCAGGAGTTCGAGACTAGTCTTGCCAACATGGTGAAATCCCATCTCTACTAAAAATAACAAAAATTAGCCGGGCATAGTGGTACGGCCCTGTAATCCCAGCTACTTGGGAGGCTGAGGCATGAGAATTAGTTGAACCCAGGAAGTGGAGGTTGCAGCAAGCTGAGATCGTGCCACCGCACTCCAGACTGGGTGACAGGGCAAGACTCCATCTCAAAAAAAAGAAAGTTCAATTGTGGAAACACACTGCATTTTATTTTTTTGTTTCACCATTGATTACTAGCATTAAAAAAATACTTGTGGATAGATGCTTCCTAAAGATTTTCTATCTTCAAATACAAACAGAGTTTTAAATATGGTTTTTCTAATGAAAATCAGAATTCGAAGCTCTAAAGTAGTAAGTTCTTTGAACAATTATAGCAGGGTCTAACCATTTGAATTCAAATGTATCCCTGTAAAGGACATGTGTAGACTTTTCTTTTTCTGTGAAACTTGCTTTAAAATACTCAAACTCTTCTTACAAAGCGACATCAAGCCAACTCCTCTCCTTTTCAAATAGGTACTCCTTTTGGATGAAGGGACTCGCCAAACAACAGAACAAACTCTCCTAGAAGACTGAGAGGACAGCAAGCAGCTGTCCACACACAGATTGAGACAACTGTGACCATCTGCAGTTTAAATGGCAGTCACGTTTTCACATCCCTCCAAGGACTAGTGCTCAAAAATGTGCTCTTCTTCCTGTCCTGGCCTGCATGGAGCACCCTAATGAGGAGTCAGTGTGATTTCAGCTGGACCTTCACTCTGGAAGGCCTTTGGGAGGGGAAGGGATAGGAATTGGTCTTTTCTGCCTTCCCCCACCCCCTGCCGCCCCACCCCACCTCCAAGCCTCTTTCCATTCTGCCATATGTAAATACATACATTCACACCCACTAGCATGGGTAACTTTGAGCGAAGTATAGGTTTTGTTTTGTTTAGAGAGCCCATTTTAAACAAACAGATGAAGTGCACATAATATTTTTGTTACTCAAAATCTGGACAACTTAGCATTAACATTGAATCACTGAAAAAGCTCCAAGTAAAACTGTATAATGTAATACACTCTGCCAATGCTTACATGTTTTTTTCTTATAAAATCACAAAAGTTATGCTTAAAATAAATAAATAAAAACCAGTCTCTACCCAAGTGTCTAGATTTAGGTAGCATGGTTTCATATGAAGCAAAGGGGACAATGGTACTTAAACAACAGTATTTAAACCATTGTTGGTATTGCAGTGTCTGTGAAAAAATGAGTCAAAATAAATACTACATCCCAGAGAAAGTACAGCATTTGGGCAACATTCCCATCATTGTGAAGCCTTGGGCAAGTCATTTATTCCCTACATTTTTCCATTATCTTTGTAAAACTAGTTGTATTTATTTATTCATTCATTCAACAAATATATTTTGACTATCTCCTATATGCCAAGGACCCTCTAATAACTGAAGATATTTTAAGTGTGCTCTTTGCACTCAAAAAGTTCATTGGCTAGCAAGGGGGCAGTCATACAAAGAGTGCTAATGTGGTAGTATTAAATATCATAGTCTCTATTGGTTTTCAATTGCTACTGTAACAAATCACTGCAAATCGACTGGCTTTAAGCAACACAGACTTACTCTTCTACATTCCTAGAGGTCAGAAGTCTAAAATTAGGGTGTTGACAGAGCTGGGTTCCTTCTGGAAGCTTCAGGGGAGAATTTGTTTCCTTGTCTTTCCCAGTTTCTAGAGGCCGCCTACATTCCTTGATTCATGGCCTCCTCCTCCATCTTCAAACCACATCACTTTGGTTCCATTATCACATCTTCTTTTTCAGATTTTGACCCTCTTTCCTCTCTCTTACAAAAACCTTTGTGACTGCATTGGGCCGACCAGAATAATCCAAGATAATCTTCCCATCTCCAGCTCCTTAACCAAATCACATCTACAGTGTCCCGTTTGCCCTGTAAGGTACCATATTCACAGGTTCTGGGGATTTGAACATTGAAATCTTTGGAGAGCCATTATTTTGTCTACCACAGTATTCGTTATAACATAAAGAATAACCTCTGCACAAAGTAAGACGTAAGCTTAGAAGAAGGCATCCTAAATCTCGTGAGAATCAAAGAGGCACCGTTGAGCTGGGATTTGAAGGCTGAATAGAACTTTACCTGATAGAGACATCAGAAAAAGCTTTGCAGAAAGTGGGGACAATGATATCCTATCAGCTCACAGAAAGGGAATCACTCTAGAGGACCAGAAGTTACAAAATCTCAGGATAGGAAGAGACCTTACGGAAACTCTTTTGTTGACACAGTGTGTGACAACTGAGGTAACAGGAAGCCCAAAGAGGGGCCATGACTTGCCCAAAGGACAATGGCTAGAGCGGCAGGCCACCAGGGACTAGGCTCCTGAAGACTAGGTCTCCTTCCCCGATTCAAGCCCTGGAGAAACTTTCCAATGCTAACATATCTGCTTAGGTCCAGATGGCTGGCGCCTCTGCCCACATTCCAATTGCAATAAAATTAATGAGAACCTAATGCAGAAATCAACCCATTGTTAACTAACCAAGTACAGTGTTTGATTTTAAATAAGAAACATAGTATTTTTTCCAAAATAAAAAACTTCAGAGGCCTTCTGGATTGATAGTTTGGAGCAGTAAGAAGGATATAAGTAAAGATAATGAGCCACATTCATTTTTAAAATGACAACTCTATAAGCTCAGTGATTTCTTCTTAAAATATGAATTGGCAGGTGTCAGCAGCAAAAGTTGTCTGACTGCGAAATGGATATTTGTTGAATAAAAGCCATTAATGCTTATAGAATTCACTGTCTCAGGGAGGAGTTCATGACAATGTGATGTTCTCAGAGATGTACTAAATGAGCTTTTTATTCATTATTTTAGTCACTAGTGGGGAAAAGGCCAGATCTGGCTCCTAATCTTCAGCCTGAACGCTTCATAAATACTGATTTAAGTGATAGCCCATAAAGAGTCCTAATTGTGTCACAGCACAATGACATTACTTAAGTGTGATGTGACTGCATGAACGCCCTGACTGCTTGCAAATACTTTCATGGCAATTCAGAGACTTAATCCCAGTCTCTTCCCCACATTTCCATTTGGGGAAGTTATATTTTTATCTACAGGGCTTTGTTTTGGTTTTAACTATGGCAATGAATCAGTGGATAGTTTTGCCTGGTTCCATATTATTGTAAACCCCAGACTCCCCCTCAAACAATCAAGCATACTCTCATGCTTGGTGTCTAGTTTAGGGGATTCCACAATGACCAGCTTCCCCTTAATTTCATACTTGGCATTTTGGAGAGCAATGCACATTATATTTGGCATAAATTGCATGGGATTTGGAGTGAGAGACTCTTACTAACTTAAAGATAAGTTAGAAGTCTGGAGAAATAATGTCCTTCACCAAATGACTGTAAATTTGAAATTTCAGTCCTATTTTTGGATTGAAATTTAATCCTATCTAGTTTTACTAGAAACTCAGAAGGTGATCACTTGGAAGCATTTGTTGAGAATGCTAATGTTGCAAAGAGATAAGAATGATGGGGCAGTCTTTCACAAATTCAGAAAAAATGATTGGGTCCAGATTGGAGAATTGTAGGTTAGTCTGCAGGGAGCACACTGGCTGACAAATTAGTTAGAAGTGGGGACCAACAGGAGTTCAAGACATTTGTCAAGGCAAGGAGAAATAGCCTAGATAATATGAGAAACAGGGAGAAAGGGATGATGGAATCTGAATTGGCTGTGTGCCCAACAGCAAAACCGATCAAGCTAGGAAGGAAAATGTCCCAGATGAGGTATTGAAGAGAGAGACTGGTACATTCCAACAGTCACCAGGCAAGGCATGTAAGAATCCAGGGACAAGGGACTAGTGGTGTCAGGAGACTGGGCAGCAGGTACTTCACTCCTAAAGCCCTAGTGTGTAACTGAACTCAAGAACTCAGACCAGGCTAGGCGTGGTGGCTCACGCCTGTAATCCCAGCACTTTGGGAGGCTAAGGCAGGCAGATCATGAGGTCAGGAGTTTGAGACCAGCCTGACCAACATGGTGAAACCCCGTCTCTACTAGAAATACAAAAATTAGCCGGGCATGGTGGTGCACATCTGTAATCCCAGGTACTCAGGAGGCTGAGACAGGAGAATTGCTCGGACCCAGGAGGCAGAGGTTGCCGTGAGCCAAGATCAAACCACTGCACTCCAGCCTGGGCAACAGGGTGCGACTCCATCTCAAAAAAAAAAAAAAAAAAGAACTTGGACCAGACATAGCTGGATCTTGCTTTCTCTATCTCTATCTCTGTCATAGAGAGCAGGTGGCAGAGACTGGCATTTTGAATGTATCTGAAAAGTATTATCTCTAAGTAATATTTATACTACTATTAATAGTAATAATGGAACTAATTTGGGCTAGATTGTGCAGCTGAAAAGATAGGGTTCCAAGCTGGCCCTTTCTAGTCAGGAATCTGTGACTTGACTTAATCTCTTTGGAATTTAGTTTAATTGACAATAATGTCATCTAATGGTCTATTGGTAAGGATGGAATGAAATAATATAGGTGAAGTATTTGACTCACAGTTGGACTCTGAACGTTGGTTTCCTTTGAGGCTGAGATCTTTACCACTGTCTTTAGGCACAATACTAAAGAGGGCTTCTGTCCTCATTGTCTCCCTATTCTTTGTTCTTTTATGTCTTCTTTGATACCTCCTACCTCTACTTCTTATGGTAGGAAGAAGCAACACAAAAGACTCATGGATCTCAGCCACAGACTCAGGAGAGCAAATTGATGATAGAGATAGAGATAGATCTTAATTTTTCCATAGCTGAGCTTCATTTCTATCACAAGTCCCGATATGCCTGGGTAACAGACTAGTCCTGAAATCTTCACAGTTTAAAAGAGCAAAGGATAGCAGAAAGCTGTGTTCTATATAGTTTGAGTAGCCCAGACTGATGCTGGCTCTGCCATCATTTAGCCATACTATCTGGTAAACATGAACTCTAAATGTCAGCAAAAGAGAAAGAGAGGGCTGAAGGAGGAGCACCATCTCTTAAATGCCTCAGCTTTTGATTACTTCTGCTCATAGTCTATTGGCAAGAACTAGTCACATGGCCCCCACCTAGGCTACAAGGAAGCCTGGTAAATATGGGAGAACATAGTTTGCCTCTACATGAACTTCGAGTGTTTTAGGATGTTTTTTGATGACCAGTGATAGAAGAAATCCAATTCAAACTACATTAAGCAAAGAGGGAAATTTATTAGTTCACAAAACCAAGAAAGGTGTCTAGTACTGAAAGCAGGCATGACTGGATACAGAAACTCAAATTGGGTAATATGTTTGGTTTATTTCCATTTCTGAGCTTATCCTGTCTTGGCTTGGCTTCAGTCTTTAGAATGTTTCTCCCTATGTGGTTAGTAAAAATGGCTGCCAGCAGCCCTCAGCCCATATCCCCTGCTTAGTAACATTGTTGGAATGAGCCAGGTCTTCCCTTCAAGTGCTCATGGAGAACTCTGGGGGAGGACACTGATTGGTCCAGCTTGGGTCACAAGCATATCCTTCTACCAATGACTTTCACCAGGATGGGATTCTCTGATTGGCTCAGCTTGTGTCACATGTCATCTTGTAGTAAGGAGTGAAGAGTGACTAGCTTCATCTCCACTCGACTGACATGATGCAGGTTTTCTACTGCAATGCCGAGTTCTCTCAGGACAAGGGGGAAGAGCTGCAGGCCAGTCAACAACACCAGCTGCCCATCACAGCAGGATCACTCTAAGGCATCCCCTTTACCATGCATCACTTGGGGCTGGTAAGTGGCTTTTATAGTGCCTGCCCAAAGGAGTTATATTGGAAGTGATGGGTGCCGATGGGCAAATGGCCACTCAATCTTCCAATAGTTTGTGGAAATAATGGTTATATCTTTTGTAAATTTGACACAGAACACAGCTGGGAGGTATCTGCAATAGAAAAGAACTGTGATCAATGATCTGTGCCAAATCATAAAATCAGTCTTCTTTTAAAGTACAAAAATAAGGACGCATCACATGGGTAGGAGGAATTTCTCACAGTGGCTTTATGGCATGCTTTATGGCCAGTCTGGATTACTGTGTTGCTGTATCTCAATCTTTTCCAGGAAGTCATCACTTCATCTCC